GCATCTGGGTAAAAGTTTGAAGCTGTTATGGAGAAACAATATGTTATCTCAAAATTTTCTGGTGCTTTTCTTGTAACAATTACTTTAGCAAGAGCAACAGCTTCCTCTAGAACAGTGGCTTGCAACCTTTTCGGACTACTGTACCCCTTTCAGGAGTCTGATTTTTCTTGTATATCCCTAAGTTTCACCTCACTTAAAAACTACTTGCTTACAAAAGCAGACATAAAAATACAAAAGTGTCACAGCACACTATTACTGAAAAAAGTGCTTAATTTCTCATTTTTACCATATAATTGTAAAATAAATCTATTGGAATAATAATATTGTTCTTACGTTTCAGTGTATAGCATATAGAGTAGTATAAACAAGTCATTGTCTGTATGAAATTTTAGTTTGTACTGACTTCGCTAGTGCTTTTTATGTAGCCTGTTGTAAAATTAGGCTAATATCTAGATGAGCTGATGTACCCCTCGAAAGACCTCTGAGTACTCCACTGATCTAGAAAATGTATACTTGTGGATAAATTAGTTCATACACTTGTCTGTGTGAAGAAGCAGAATACCAGTGATAGAAATTAAGCCTGTGTTGGGTAATAAGCATAGAGATCCATTCAAAAAAAACCCCAACTCTATTTCAGAAATTCATGGTAAAGATTTGATGTTATTGTGTATAGTTTGGGTTTAGGTACATCCGTTATTATATAGAGCAGGGGTCGGCAACCTTTCAGAAGTGGTGTGCTGAGTCTTCATTTATTCACTCTAATTTAAGGTTTCGCGTGCCAGTAAAACATGTTAACGTTTTTAGATGGTCTCTTTCTATAAGTCTATAATATATAACTAAACTATTGTTGTATGTAAAGTAAATAAGATTTTTAAAATGTTTAAGAAGCTTCATTTAAAATTAAATTAAAATGCAGAGCCACCCGGACCGATGGCCAGGACCCGGGCAGTGTGAGTGCCACTGAAAATCAGCTCGGGTGCCGCCTTTGGCACGCGTGCCATAGGTTGCCTACCCCGATATAGAGTATGTTTGTACTGAATACTAGTTTGTTCATCTCTCACTAGTTTAATTATAATTTTGTATTGCTTTCTTGTCTTTGCCTATTAGCTCTCTTTTATATTTTAAATCTAACTAATTATTGGCCTTCTCCACGCCACAGTTTTTAGCTGTGAAAAACTTGAATCATTGATTCCATGGCTATAAACAAAAACACTTAAAGATACTGTCAAGTAAAAATACTAGATAGCCATGGTCTTTCAGGTTGTAAATCCTCAAAAACAGCTGGCCTGCAATGTACTGCCATAGTAGAGACAAGAGGTCAGGCAGAGCTCATGGACTCTTATTCCTCAACCTTGTGACATTCAGGAGCACCATAGAGGTGACCTGCTTCAGTTCCAAAGAAGGGTCTTGAGTATCCATTCTAAGAGTGCCTCCTGCTGGCTTATTTAGAGAGGAGCATTCGTGTCAGTCTTAGGGGACACTGATGGCTTGTCCTCTTGCTTAGTTTAGTCACGGACACACTGCTTGCACTATAGGGAAGTGGACAGAGGATGTGATAAAGGAGGAAATTGTGGTGTCACATAATGAAGGAATTGGGAACCTAAGGCCCTGAGTCAGCAAAGCACTAATGCACATGTTTAACTTTGAGCACATTAGTAGTCCCAACCCTATTCGGCAAAGCATATGCGAACGTGGGGCCCTGTGTATCTATAAGGATATAATGTAAGCATATAAACATAATGTGCATAAATACGTAGAGATCTAGGTATTTATTTTTTAAACCTATGTACATTTTACAAGAGAAGTAAAAAATCAGGGGCTAATTCAAAAAAAGAATAAACTGAAAGAGAGAGAATTCAGGTCAACCTCTTAACTACATAGCAAAATTTTACAGTTAAGTCCTGATTAAGAAGTCTGGGGGTGCAAATTCAGGGTCCGGGAGAATATTTAAGATTCATAAAGAAAAAGTAAAAAGAAAAAGAGTTGATCCTGCAACCTGCACTCCTTGCTCAGGTGAACATTGATCTCAGGAGAGGTAAATATTACCCATGTGAGTAAGTCCTTGCAGGATCAGGTCCTATGCAGACGCAACCTACCTTGACAGTATGCTGCAAGTCTGCACGCAGACTGCAAAATATAGAATAGCTATTTTTAGCTATAATGCATCATGGATATGAGCATTCGGAACACCTCCCCTATAGAATTTGACATTCACGACTGGAAATTCATTTACTAGGAAGAGGTCTCTCTTTAATGCCTTCTTAAAAAAAATTGTACAGATGTGGAAGTATTAACGCTGGTCTTTTGCACCCATCACATTCATCGTTTGGGATGCCTGAAGTACCACCATTCACTTGTTTCTATTGAAAATCGAAACATTTTAAATTAAAAAAGGACAAAATAGTAAAGTTGTTCACTTTAAAAATGCTTCAAAACTGAGAAAATAAGTATTTTTCTCCAAAGAACTGATCTTATCTTTCAAATGTTTTCAAAACAAACCACAAAAATTAACTTTTTTTATTAGTATTTTTCTGCACAAAAGAAACTATTTCAAAGCTATTCTGTTTATGTACCACGCATTGCTGCCATTGCCCTGAATTGAATAGCAGAGCAAATTCTTTATCTATCTAATTATCTCTCTGTACAATGGGGCATAGGCAATGTTATCCCAGAATTCCCGAACCTTTTTGTACTGTACGTGAGTTCTTACTTTAAATTAATGGGCAGATTTGCTTTGTCTGAGCTCAGAAAAGTATTTATTTTAAAAGCCACAACACCTTTTTGGTATTTTTGGCGTTGCGATGCCTCTACTCACCCACGTTACCCCAAGAGTGTAATTGAGAGGTATCAAGCTGAATGTAGGGGTACATTGAATCACCCAATAAATGCCTGGGATTGCTCAGATTTTCCACAGCAGGAATCCCATGTGAGCAAATGCCAGCCTGCATCAGATCCAGATATAAATGGCATATATTAGCGTCTATGTTTTTGATCTTAAAGTGAGCATGAATATTGTTAATAATGATCATTCTCCTATAAATTATAAATGTCAAGGACACCCAAACATGTATATTGCCCAGGGCTCCTCTTCGTGCTTCTGGTATTAAATGCTCTATAGATCCTCCTGTTTACAGTAATTGTCAAGCTTGAATCAGTCTATTTGGCCAGTTGTACAACACTGTTGTTTAAAACGTTTGCCCAGCATTTACCCTACCCAAAACCAGTGAACGAAAACAAAATCTCTCGATGAGAAATGTTAGCATACAGACATGTTTACAATATGTCAAACCAGTAGCAACACCTGCACCGCCTCTATTTTGTGCTGTGATTGGTTGTGTTAGCACTTAACACCTATAGTAAGAAGGGCTATACTGGGTCAGTTCCTGGATGGGAGAAATGTCTGAGTGCTGCAAAAAGTGGTAGTGGAGATTCAGAAGGTCTTTCCTCTTGGTCACTATTAAACCAATAGCGCACCCTGGTGCTGGGGTGCAGCCCACGGAATGAGACATAAAGCCAGATTCTTTGCTGCAGTCCAGACTCACTCAGTGCAGCAAAGGTGGGGCAACAGTGAGCCAACTGCAGCTCTCTGGTTCTCTGCCTGTCTTGGCCCTGCCCCAAAGGGACTTCCTGTCAGCTGAAAATAGCCAAAGCACAGTAGCATTCCAGCCATACTCCTTCCTGCCCTGGGCATGCCCCCAACACTGTGGGAACCCTCAGTTGGCCAGATACACCCTGATTCTAGCCAATAAAATCATGATCCTGAGCATAAATGGTTATTAACAATCCATGGAACATTTTGTAACAGGAAAGGTGTTAATTTACCTGGATGTCCTATCCAGGTTCACATTTGGGTTACCCTGTATTGTCAGTTGGGTAGGCTATTCCTCGCTTTGCTAAACTGCTATGCTGAGTGCTGGTAAGCAGCTGCAACGTTCAAGCCCTGAGATGGCTGCATTCTGTTAGTGGACAAAATAGATTGAACTAAATTATTAGACTAAACCATATCAGTAGTTTGTAAAATGCTTTTTGAATCCTTCAAGATATTAGTACGGGCCTGTTACAAGTTATTTATTTATTTCACAGTTAAATAAACGCAAGTGTCTGTAGAAAAGGTGGGAAACAAAAATGGGTCTTTAGTGAGCAATATACCTGGACTAAAATTTGGGAAGAGATAGTGAAGTGAAAAAACAAGTGTGTAAGCTAGGGTGACCAGATGTTCCAATTTTATAAGGACAGTCCTGATTTTTGGGTCTTTTTCGTATATAGGCTCCTATTACCCCCCACCACCGTCCCAATTTTTCACACTTGCTGTCTGGTCACCCTAGTGTAAGCTGATAGCAGCAATAGAACCACAACTGCACATCACAGTACAACCATTGGCCAGATTCTGATCCCAGCTACACCGTCATAAATCAAGGGAAGTCAATGGATTTCTCCCAGTCAGAATCAGGCCCTCAGAGACTAATGGTATGTCTACTCTGGAGCTAATTTCCAGCTCCAGGAGACATACCCATGCTAGCTCTGATTGAGCTAGTGGGCTAAAAATAGAAGTGCAGCCATAGCGGCACGAGCAGCAGAGGGAGCTAGCCACCCTGTCCAAGACCTTAGGTGTATACTTGGGGTGGCTAACCATTCCTGCTACCATGATTGCACTTCTATTTTTAGTGCTCTAGCTCAGAGCTAGTGCTGGAATGTCTCCGCAAGCTGGAAATGACACCTTCCAGATCCAGTGTAGACATACCCTAGAACAGTGGCTCTCAATCTTTCCAGACTATTGTACCCTTTTCAGGAGTCTGATTTGTCTTGTGTACTCCCAAGTTTCACCTCTCTTAAAAACTACTTACTTACAAAATCAGACATAAAAATACAAAAGTGTCACAGCACATTCCCCTTTGACCAGCTTGTCCTTGTCTGTCCTCCACGAATGCAAGTCGACACCACACCATTCCGTTTTGTTGCAAGCACGTTCTTTCCATTTCTGGCCAAAGAGTTTTGTCATGAAAAATTGCTGACTTTCTCATTTTTACCATATAATTATAAAATAAATCAATTGGAATATAAATACATTTCAGTGTATAGTATATAGAGCAGTATAAACAAGTCGTTGTCTGTATGAAATTTTAATTTGTACTGACTTCGCTAGTGTTTTTTATGTAGCTTGTTGAAAGACTAGGCGAATATCTAGATGAGTTGATGTACCCCTCGGAAGACCTCTGTGTACCCCCAGGGGTACGTGTACTCCTGGTT